AAGAAAAATAGTGAGTTGAAACTTGTTAAGCACAAGCACAGTATCAAATGAACTGAGGCTTTGGAAAAATATTAGCAGAGGCTGATGCCATTAACACATTTATATGACATTGAATTGTAAAATATGGACTGAAAGAAAAGCATGCTTAGAATGAACATACAATGTTTTGCGAACCTTCTAAGATACTCTAAATTATAACTCAATGAAATTCTGAAAATGAACTAACAGTAGTAAGATGACTAGTCTTACCTGCCTGAGAGCAGATGTGAGATTTTAGGTCCATTATTTTATTGATATGAATGTGACATGTTTCACATTCACATGGCAGAAAACAGTAGGAATTATAATACTTAAAAACACAGAAGTGATGCCAGGACACAACTAACAATAGTAAGGTGAATCAACCTGACAGCTCTACTCACTTATGTTGCAAATGGCTGTCAAACTATTATGACACTAGGAGATTTTTCAGACCATAGCTCTGGTCTCAATCTCTGTAAAGTATCTTAACTTTCATTAAGGTATTTTGACAGAGTAATTTTCATTGTATTTACACCAGTTCTGTGAGAAACACAAAATTGTTTCATTAGTTTGATGTTTACAGGTGAGAAATCCAAGACAATTCAAATTGTATGTGACTCTACCAAGATTACTTAGCTGATCAGTGGCTAAGACTTGGAGTTATATTTTCTGATGACTAACACAGGGCTCCTTCCAATATAATGTCATACATCAGATTTATTTTGCTTTTTTACTTTTCCATACCAAAAAAAAAAAAACTATTTTTTTATTACTAAAAGGTTCATGCACTCACCGAAGAGACAGAGAGACAAAGAGAAAGAGAGGGAGAAAGTATCCCTCCATGGGCTATCACAATCTTCTCCTCCAATTTCTTCATCATGCAGGATTTGAGGAATGCACACACATGTCTGGCCTGCTTTTCAAGCCACTGGGGCCAGGATTTGAACTGTGGTCAATTATATAGGCTCCATAAAACTACTAGGCTATGGGCCTAGCCCCAAAACCAATATATTTTTTACCATAGCACAGTTTTCTTTATATGCACAAGAGTAATTTAATAGGAAATAATCAGTATTTATTGTCAAAATAGCCACAAATGCAAAATTGTATTTATCTCTAGTTCCACTCCAAATACATACTACTAAAAATGCATTAGCACTCTACATGCTAGCACCATAATTTGGACTTAGATGATATCCATTTCTAAATTCTGACTTTTATGGATGATAGCAGACAAGAAGCGTTACACTGAGTAACAGGAGGATGTGATTAGGCAATTAAGTATTATACTGAGTAACAGGAGCCTTAGATTTAATAAACATGATGTTGGCTTTTGTTTTAATATTTTCCAGCCTAATTGCTTTTTCCCTTAAAATAATTCATAACAACATAAAATCAATTCTACATTTAAGCCAAGATAGTGGTTCACTGGTATCTTGTTGTCAATGGTATTACCGTTTATTACTGGCCAGAACAAATTCCTTAATGATAGAAAGAAAACAACAACAACAACAAAAAAAAACCTATAATAACAAAAATAAAACTGTTGAAGAACAGTAGTATGGTATAGTGGGAGGAAGATTAGATTGAATGCAAACATGCTGACCTTCCAATGTATAGGATTTAATAAGACTATTTCATCTTGAGAAAATCCCCTCCCTCTGGCTCTGTATTTCTTTGTAGAAAATGCACTTAGAAATGTTCCACCAATCTTCTCAAATCTAACAGTTTTTTTGTAGTAGTTAATTATATGTCAGAAAAAGAAACTAAGATAATTAAAGCAACTTACAAAAAGTTTAATATGAAAACTTGCTTGTAGAAGTCAGAGAAGATAAGGAGTAAAGAATCCTTGTGAGGGGAAAAATAGCTAAGATGTAGATAGATGGTCTAGATTTGAGGAAAAATAAATTGAAAATATAACTCCAACTTCATATGCCAGAGAAACCAGAAAATGATCATGTAAATGTTTTGAGAGTAGCTTTGAAGAGATTATAAGTTCAATTTTGGGGAGATAATGAGTTTAACATGTTTCACACTCACATGGCAGAAGGCAGTTGGATCTGTAATATTCTAGAACTCAGAAGCAATGCCAGGACTGGAGAAACAGTTTTAGGACTCTGTAGATTTGAGAACTGAAGCTATGGGGCACATGAGTCCTCCAAGAAGGAAATTAAAGAAAGGGAAAAAGAGCCAAAGTGATGTTCATGAGCCAAGTGCACTCATGAGCAACAAAAGATGAACCAGCAAGTAAGACTGAGATAGAAATCTCTAAGAGAAAGAGAGAATGACTTGACATGGAGCATACAAAGAGGTATCTTACCAAACCTGATAGAGTGATTAATCCAATTAGTCCTATAAATTTAGTTCTTGTATCTCTTTACAACCTGGATAATTAATATTTCTCTCAGCCATTTATTTGTACCATTGGGATAATAAGATTTTCTAAAATGAAAATTGAATATTTCATCAGATTCACTTTTAAGAATTCTTACATATTTGTATAAGTCTGTCATTAGACTATATTTCAGTAACCTGAGCCAAAGGAGGGCAATCCATTATGTAATTGTATTGATCAATGTACAATGCAATGTTTCAATACCCCACCCAAGTACAGTATTGCCCTGATTTCCCCTTCTATCCCACAAAGTTCTATTTCAATTAAACTTTGTAAACAAATGAATTAAAATTACTAAAATAACAAGATAAGTACAATGATCAATTTAGATAACAATTATTGAAACATAAATAAAGCAAGTTGAAAATTCAGGAGAGGGAAAGTACTTCAGTTAGTACAGGGGACTGCAGAAAGGTGCAGAGAAGGGAAGTTAGCTAATTCATTAAGCAGAAGAATTTTGATAGATGAAGATGATGGTGGGCACTGTAAGTGGGAAAAAAAAATGATGAGGGAAGGCCCAGAGGGAGTAGTTTCACAGACTACATCTACAGCATTTGACTTCATCCTGGCAGGTAATAGTTGCTCCAAATTCATGTGTTGTAGTAGTAAGTGACTCAATAACTAAATTAGCATGTAAGCCTTGGGAAATTTACACCATTCAATTATAATAGGTCATTGGGAAAGTCATTACATGTTTTTCTATGCAAAATTGCATCATGACTTTCCCAACGACCCAACCACAGATTATAGCAAGGCAAAGAGGTAGTTTTGGTTATTGACTTTAGTTACTATTCTTCTCCATCTACCCCCAAGAGATATCTAGAATAACTGTATTTACCAAAAGACTTGAGCTCAAACTGCAAAAGCCTGACTTTGAAAATTAATTGAATTATTATAAGTTGTGGATTAAATACCTGGCCAGAGGATAAAATTATAATTACTCACATGTGATACTATAGACACTTCAATGACTATTCAGTAACAGCCTAATTTTAAAAATATTTGATTATCTTAAAATATGAGGAAGAGCAGATGGTGTAATGGTTAAGTTACTGGACTCACACATAGTCAACCATGGTTGAAGTCCCAGACTCAGCAGCTTAAAACTCATACCAGGCACATGTGTGTGCATGCCAAAAATCCTGAGCGGAAAATAGAGAAGGGATTGCAACATGGCCATCTCCCCTGGAGGGTTATTTCTTGCTTTCTGTCTCTCTCTGTCTGTAGAGAAAGTACACACACCCTATAAGCAAAAATCTCCGTTAAAAAGAAAACTTAGATTTGTATTGTTCATACACATAAGATATATATAATGACTATAGTCATCTTTAGTGCACGGCTTAGTTCTTCACTTAAAAAGAGAGTAACAAGCAGTGATACCAGTTTAAGAATCATGCATTGGAACCAGTAGGTGGCATGACGGTTGGAGCCCCAGACTCCTACATGGCTGACTACAGTTCCAGTTCCAGACCTACAAGAAACTTGATTATATTTGAAGGTTGGTAGAATGAAAACTGTTATAAAAATAAATATGAAGAGGAAAAATGTGTGAAATACACTCATACATGAAGGGAGTGAGAATGGGACATATACCTAGGGGAGAAATTGGCTTCGAGTCATAGATATAATGCATTTTCAACACAAACTGAAGAAAACAAAACTAATTAGGGAAAATAAAGAAAAATATCTGAATATACATATGATCCTTCATTGGAGCTTTCATTTTTTCTTCAATAAAAAAATGAACTGCCATACTATAGATCTACTATATTACCATATTATATTCAGAGTTAAACCATTGAAGCTAAGAAAGCATTTTAATTCCTATCTTAGGCCCTGTGCTTCCTTAAAACACTGCTCCCAATGGAGCTTATAAGCTTAGCAGTGCACTTTCCTTAAGGGATGTAGGCATTAGTTCTCAAGCTAGAGGCTGTTAAGGAAATCACCCTCAATTAGCAAATATGATATATAGCAGGACTATGCATTTTAACAGGGCTAAGTTTTTAAATTGGCATGCCCCTGTGCTATTTAAATCTAAGCAAGCCTTCATTTACTCTGGTGTAAATTCCAAACATTAATTTCTCTGTTTGATCAACATCTGACATAAGCTTTATAACTTCAGAATTATTCTACTGGGAAATAGTCATATTCTTTTTCAGGAAATGATTAAATCCTACTTTCAATATATATTTTTCAAAGGGTCTGGGCAACACAAACACATAATTCTATAATGTAATAAGTTGTAGCTTATTTCTTCATAATAAGATTTCCTCCAAAATTAGTTCTAAATGAAAAAAAAAATGCTAAGCAAAAAGCTGTTTTACAGCTTTTTAAACAGCTGAAAACAAATGTTCCTGAGTTTTACATGTTATAATAGGAACTGATATATATATATATATAGATTATATAAGAAACTTAACCCTAAAATTACATCTTAAAGCATATAATAGAGTATTTTTAGTATAACACTAATTTCTTTAATTCTTTGAAATTGGCACAAAAAAAAAATAGACACATTATCATTTAGAAAACTAAAACCTATTCCTTGGCCGTTTTTGAGAAAACCAGTTTATTTTCCATACACCTTCCTTTATCCTCCTCACCACCCTTTTCTAGTGTTCTGGTATCATCCAAGTTGTACTCTTTACTTGAAACACCTGTTCCCTGTGCCATCTCCACCATCCAAAGCCACCACTCATTAGGATCCATCTTAGGTGAGGGCCAGCCAGTTCTACAGTAGTAAAGCAGGATACTCTGCAAAGATGACCCAACTAGGAAGTGTACTGGTTTGTATCCAGAGACTGATGAGCATGCAGAACACACCTGTGCCTATGATCAAGGCTGACTGGGGCTAAGGTTGGATCATGGCGTCAAGACCCTGTCCGAGGGGGACCAGCAGTTAGCGTAATGGCTATGTCGCTGGACTCCCATGGCGGTTCGCGTCCCGGACACGGTGGCTTAAAACTCACGCCAGGCGCGTGTGCGTGCGTGCGTGCCCAAGATCCCAAGAGAAGAATGGAAGAGAAGGGATTGTGGCGTGGCCATCCCCCCGGGGGATGATTTCTCGCTTTCTGTCTCTCTGTCTCTCTCTCTCTGTCTGGCAAGCACACGC